GAGTTCTCTGTAATGTGCCAAGTGTGCAGGATGTTTGGTGACACCATCACCCATGTTTTTGCTATTTTCCCATAAACGTTTTTAAACTTAATTCTGTAATGGTTCAAACAGGGGCTTCAGGTGTTTATTACATGTAAAGATTATAATATAAAAAAGGGATGTATGTGGGAAAGTATTATCGTCAACTTCATAGCTACAACATAGCTACAGCTGTGGCAAAGGCTTTGGATTATTTGACTTCAACTTTGCGTAGACAAAATACAATCTTCTCTACATCAGTGTCATTTATGTTTGTGTTCACATAGCTTCCCTTCCCTGTGGGATAATCTTAAAAGAATAAAATAGCTGTAATTTTTCAAAATACCATTGTGAAACTGATTGCAAAATAATTCAGCACTGAAAACATATTACACTGTAACCTCAGTATAATGAACACCGTTATAATGAACTTCCTGATATAATGAACACATAGCGTGTCTCCCGCTCACAACAAACCCAATGTATTATGTACTTCATTATAATGAACATTTCACTATAACAAACTAATTGTATGTCCCCCAAAGAGTTCGTTATAGCGAGGCTACAGTGTACTAGTAATGTTGTGTTATGATTGACCATTAATTCTTATAATGTGTATTATTATACATCTGTCGCCGTAATGCCATAAGTTACAGCGTGTCGTAATTTTGCGGTATTTTACGGGGTATGTTCATCCTACCATATTATGAAATGCGAATTCCAAATATAGAACTATTACGCACATAAGCGCCCTCTAATAATAAAAACAAACATGGTTGCCCCCAGGGTTTGAGCGGACCCTACACAAAGAAGTTTGCTGAATCTGTTCTAAACTTTTTGGATTTTGGCATTTGTATGATGTATCCCTGGGAGGAAAAGATGTATAATAATAAAGTTATTATGAGGATACTGCAAAGTAAGCATTCAGACAGTACGGGGGTCGCATCAACATCTGCTGCGTGTCGGTCAATACTCCTGCGATACTGTCTTCATGCATACTTTGCAGTATCCTCGTATAACCTCATATTATGGTGTGAAGATATGCAAGACACATGAAATTACGATGTCATTGCATTTGTGTAAAAACTTATGTAAAACATAAATAGCTTGTTAAGTAAGTGCATTGCATTGTGGGAGAGATTTTCCTTTTTAATCCATATATGACTTTATTGAATACTCTCAGAAACGAATACAAAATGCATCTCACACAATTCTTGACAAATTGGCATTTAAACATGCCGTAAATTCTTCAATTTGATCCAATTTGATTATACAAATTACTTTGGATCCTCAAAGAATGTCAGCATATCTGTGTAACTTAATTGAGAATACAATAATAAACCACTTTCTGTATTTTATTCTAACTTTAATATCATATCTTTTATATTTACTTTTTATTTAACTATTTATTTCAGTTTACTTACCAGCAGGAGATGTGTGTCATGGCTGAACATTGCACATAAAATTGTCAAAATGTTCTGACATTCATACCTGTTAATGTTTAATTTTGTATGTTTGTCTAACAATAATGTTTTTTATTTGCACCAATGAAAAATATGCACATAAAAATTTTAAAAATTGAAAAACAAATCACCTTATCCGTACATATGTGTGTTTCAGGCTTCACAAAATATAAAAACAAACAAAATACTTCATTTGCCTGAGATGGCGCTTTTTAATCAGTGAATGATTAAGGTACAAGAAAATATTTCAAGAATTCTTTTCTCTTGAAAACTCACTTGTTTTTTCTTTTTCACTTTTTGCTCACAGATCAGGTCAGTCAAACGTTTCTGTTGTCGCCAAGGCATCAATTTATCAAGAGTTTCGCAAATTATGCGAGAAGATGAATCGCAACGATTTACTTGAATCGGCTACCTACCATCAGGCTAAAAAGATGGCCAGAGAGTACCAACAAGCTAAAGCGTACATGATTGAATGTTTTGAGAAAAATAATCATGGCAGATGGATGCTCAAACCACCAGAAGAAGAAATGTTTTCTGTTTAAAAAAAAAATCATGCGCAAATTACACATCGTTATAATACCTTTAATTTAGTTGGCACAGCTAGATCAGCATGAGTTTATTTTTTTTTCAGAATACTTTAATTTGTGATATCAGAGTACTCTTTGACAATTAGAAACATATATGCACAATTTTGTGGAATATTGAATGTCTTTACAAAGAAGAATGACATAAATGTTGTAAACAAATTTTAATTTAATTTTCCAACTGCAAAACCAGAGGTCTGACTTGATTCAAAGTTAGAAGAACTTCAAACTGGTACTTGAATTTTATGCAGCAGCTTTATTGTGAAAATTACGAGTAACTGCTAACTTTTGTACGGTATATGATTTGTTTATTGTTACACACATTGACAGCCACCTACATCATAGTGGCTGCATTGAGTGCCATGGTTAACAATGCATGAAATAGGAACCAACAGTTACGGTGAAAACCACCAAGTTTGGGATTGCTCTGGATGTTGTAAGATTAGAACAAATATTGTAGAGTAGCTGCAGACTTTGTTTACATTTCACATGTATATACTTTGTTTATATGTGTAAGTATGTGAGGACATTGAGAGCAATCTCAATAACAAAATCTTGCTGGTATTCACTGTAACAAACATACAAATACTTTTGGGAAACAAAGGCATTCTCTTCATCTTTGTATGTATGTATATAAATGGCAGTTAAATCAGACCAACCAATCAATGAACACAGCACGCAACAATGTCATTTGAAAACGTTGCTATGGGGACAATAGAATTCTAGTTTCAGTGTGAATTTTTGAATGTATAAATATTTATGATGAAGATGAAAGGAATGACTTTGTTGTACTAAGTCATGAATCAGCACAAAATAGTAATGTATAGTTGTTGGTTACATGCACCACAAACAAACAAACATTGGTGCACATTGTCATCAGATAAAAACAGTATATGTTTTGAATACTGATATTTTATCACATCAGATTCTCTACCTTTATTTAGCAAGCCTTGATACATACATACATAGCTGACAACATTATTACCAGTACATGTTTTATTTATTTTTTGTCACACCATGGTATATACTGTTTGCCGAATTTACATGATAAATCAGTGTGTGTTTTGCTGCTTTGTGATTTTTTCTAAAAGTAAAAAAAAATTATCATAGTGATTATATTATATTACATGCTTTGTTAGCACACTTATTTGAGTTTATAGTTTTATTTCATGAATATATTGTATTTATTTGCTTATTTTATTTGAAGCGAAACATCTGCAAAAAGCTGGCTAAGTTGCTAATATGCTAATCTTCTTGTTGAGTATTATAATGATTTTGATGTTGCTGTGGTATCCACTGTTCTTGGAAGGTGCTTCATAAAAACAACAGTTTATAATTTCAATATTGTTCTGAAAATATTCTATAATTTTCCAAATAATCATGATATTGATTTGAGCATTACATTTATTGTACTGTGATTTTATAAATTTTTCTGTAGATATACAAAATAAACCAATACTACCTAGGGTTTTGGAGATATATCTAGAAAAGGAAAGAAGACAAAACAATCATGGCAGATAGACACGATTGTGAAGGTTCAGGATTACATATTATTGTGTTTTACAGGGTAATGGGTGGTTAGAGTTGTATTATCTGATATATATTGTCAGCAGACTTTATAGTATGTGTCTGATAATGTAACAGTTACAGTGTTAACTGAATATCATGATTATAATTTGTTTGCAAATATCCAAATATCACAGAGCTATCATGTCTGTTCAGTTGTAATTGAGATTTCATCAAATAACACATAAAACTTCTGTGATTGACATTTCTAATACGGTCAACTTATCTGATCAATATTTGATGCAAGACATATTCCTATATTAGGATTTCTTTGTGATGGACATCCACATCTTATGTTTTCCTAGTTTTAGGTCCCTTTCTTCCAACTTTATGAGAAATCTTATCTTCTGTTGCCTATATTTTATACTGTTTCAGTCAATAAATTAATTAGTCAGGTGCCATATCTACTAATTAGTCTAGCAGATAATACAACTTTAAGATATATTCTATTTTGTGGAATGACTGGGAATCTAAAGAAATCACAACATAACCCTGCCCTGTTTAGGCCATACTATTCACAAAATTCTTTTGGGGTGCCTTAACGTTTTAAATTGTTCATAATCATGTATAAGTACCGTGTTGCTTTGTTAAAGGCCATGGATACTGAAACAAAATTAAGTGTATCACATGACCATAGATCATTTGCATATGACTCCTAAGAAAATACTGTTCATCTCAAATATAGATTGAATAAAAATTTTCTGCTCTATTTTTTTGAAACTACTTTAATTTTATTTACAATTAAGCTTTTCAAAAAGTATATCTTGTTGACTGTTTATTTTGAATTTTATTATTTGTTCATCAATCATTTCTGCGTTATTGGCTTAAGTTTTTTTTGTTTTATTTTAATTTTATCATTTGCTTTTATTTTCTGTTATTTGTTGCAATGTTTAAAGAGGCCGTTTCTGACCCTGACTTCACTCACTGCCACTGAATACCTGTATGTAGTGTGTAATTGGATCAATATCAAATCAAATATTTACAAATGGAAACTACTTTTATTATCCATAGTCATTTTGTCTAAAGTATAGAATTATAAAAAACTCATTAAAAATACAATGAATACAGATGGCAGAAAATATTTTTTTTAGTTTTAGAATTGTTTTTAGCTAGTTGTTATGACTTATTAAGTAATATATTTTGTATTAATTTATTTGTATCCTGTTATATTAACATAGTAAAATTGCAGTCGCTATGTAATATTTATATACAGAAGCTTTTTGTGTAATTACACATAGTTTAGTTGACATATCACAGCTTTGTTTTTATATTGTATTTACTGATAACATGTTTTGATTGCAGTACAGTTGATTATTTTATTGTATTTTTTTTTCAATTTTATTTTGTAATTTATCAGTGTTCCAATCATGCTTTGTCTTCTCAAAACCACTGAATGTTGCGGTACTAATGCATTCTTCAAAGAAATTCTTGTTTTAAGCTCTTGAGTTTGAAGCGACACATAGATTTCAAATTGTTTAGATTAGGTGCTGTAGTTG